TTGAATTCTTTTGCTTCAATCCATTCTTAGTTAATGATAGCAAGTCTTATTATCTAAAGCTTGCTGCATTTGGTGTTATATTACTAATAATATTTCTGGTTGAACCATTATTCAAGGAGCAATTACACAAATTGTCAATCAATTACATCATTAGTACTCAAACAAAAGATAAATTTGATTCATTATGGTTCTTTATTTCCATATTTTTACATAATCTTGGTGAAATGGAAGCCTTTTGCTGTTTAACAATTTTACTATCATTCTTTTTAAGTAGAGTGAGAATCTTCTATTACATAGTAAGCTTGAGCTTCTCTATATACTTTTTAAATCTTTTAAAGCTATTCTACAAGGATCCACGACCTTATATGACTAATTCAGAAATTATTAACAAAAATTGCTCATTTTCATTTGGTAATCCATCTGGACATTCATTACTATTTGCTTTTTACTCGTTAACTTTATTTCTTGACTATTGGAAATTAAAAAAAGAAAAAAAACAAACATTTGAAGACAATTAGAGAACTAATTACCCTTAATACTTTCAATTTGTATTAATTATTGGATGCTAGATATCAATGTGTTTATCTAGAGTCTACGATGGTACTCATTCGTTTAACCAAGTTTTATTTGGTTGGAGTTTAGGTCTATGGCTTGGATTATTTTTCCATTATTGTCTAAGAGATTAACTTTTGTAACATTTTTAGCATATTCTTTATGAGAGAAGCCTATAATTTTATGGAAAATAAATGTAGTATTTATTATCAGCAACTTTACTTTTCACAATAGCATTAGCCATCAATATTTATGCTTTTGTGGCTGTTAATGAAGTTGATATAGATAGAGAATGGATAATTAGAATGAACTAATAATGTACTAAATATCAAGCAACTAGTTCATTTGAATATGCTGTATTTATGAAATCTGTTTGTTTGATATTTGCATATTCTGCCTATGTATCAGCATTAATTGTTGAAAACTTTGTGCTATAAAAGGTTGGCAATGAGATAAAAGATATATAAAATTCATAGATTACATTTAAAAATATACTCGTTAAAATGCTCTCCTTCCTTTTATTGTTGTCCCCATTGATTATTTATTTCTTCTCTTTCAAGAAAACTCCAGATAATTATTACTTATGCTATATTTTTAGATAGAATTTAACATTTCTATTTAGTGGACTGTTGATTTTTGGAGGATTCTATGATTTATTAGCTTATAAATTGCATAGTAGTCTCTAAAGAAAAGGCACTTTTACTTTGCATCATGAAAATTCGGAGAATCATAAATTACTAGATAAAAATTAGAATAAATGATTGAAAAATTAACGTATCTTCTTTGAGAAACATTTTTCACTCTGAAACTCAAAAATTTTAGAGAAAAAGTTTTAATTAATATTTCAATTCAATAATAATCCAAAATTTTATACCAAGGGGTTTTGGGGTTTTGGGGTTTTGG